GGCGCAACCTGCCCCCCCCCCTCCCCCCGGCCCCGCGCTATAATGAAAGATATTAACTACAATTTTATATCGAATTACCGCTGAAACACATTTCAAATTAGTTGGGCGTAGCCGCGCCACGTAGCGGAGGCGCCGAGGTTGCCGCGCTTGCGATTGGCCGGCTAGTTAGCGCCGCCGGCGAGGATTGGCCGAGCGGAAGGAGCAGAGGGGAATGCTCAGGGCGTGCCAGAACGCCGATATGGCCGCCCAGGAACGAACGGAGGCGCCTGGTCTGCTCAGTGCGAGCAGATCAGTCGAGGCAACCCGATGCACACGCACGCCTCGCCCCAGCCGACGCTGCTCCCGACGCCTCACCGCCATCAGATCACACTCTCTCTCTCTCTGTCCACGATCTTCGTCGCTGGATCGTCTCGCGATCGATCGTTTCGAAATTTCCCGCGAGTTCGCGAACTCCGTAGTGCGCGACGCACACCGCCGATCGCGAGAGAAATCCAGCTGTGAACGCGGATCCCGGATCGCCGAGATCGAGGGATGTCGTTCCAGATCATCGCCACTGGAATCGTTTAGTGCCCGAGGAACAACCGGACGAGACAACGCACGGTGAATCGCCGTCATCATCGTCCCCGCCATCGTCATCGTCATCGTCGTGGTCGTCGTGATCGTCGTGATCGTCGTGGTGGTGCGACGGAACCGATCGAATGAAGAAAGGGACGCTGAAGTTGGGTGAACGCGAGACGAAGGACGGAAAGTTAATAAACCGGTTCGGTGACTGTCGGTTAATCGCGTCGGTGCGATCGGAGTGATTGTAGCCGGTCGAATGATCGAGTGTGTCTTATCGAAAGTTTCAAAGGAATCGCGTCTGGAACGAGGGCCAACTCTACGGAGAGTTGTGGTTTGCACGGAACAGGTATAATAGGCGCGATTAACGCGCGCCGGCGAATGGTTGACGTGACGGAGCGAGGCGTTTAACGGTGCACCGTGGTGTACGTGTACGGGGTGCGCGTTTGACCAGGCACCTATCGCGGAAAAACGACAGGGAGCCGGGTTTCGTATGAAATATAATTAATAATTGAACGGCCGAGGAAGAGAAGAAAAAGGAGAGCGGAAATGGCCGACGAACTGGCTGTTATGCGCGGCAATTATGTTAAGTGGCCAATTAGCAATTAACCAAGGAGACCAGCGGAGCGGCCCCTTAATTGCGGGGAACAAGAGGACGACGAAGAAGAAGGTGGAGACGGAGGTGGAGCGACCGAGTGAACGGGAGGAAACGCAAGGTGCATCGCAACCATCTCGCGCGCCATTTACTACTCTCGATTCTCCTTTGGAAATCGACCGGGAGATTCGTCTAGCCGTGTAATCGACGACAACGCGAAATCGGAATCGTAATCGACGCGCGATCCAAAGAAGGAAGTGGAGGAGGAGGAGGTGCGGAGATAGGTGTAGATACCCCCTCGACCTCGATGGGAATGTTGGTAAAGGAGGGAAAGA